TACCACATAATGACAAAGTGAAAACAGAATTTTAAAAATGTCTGTAAATTTGTTAAAAAGGAAAAACTGATTTACTGGAATGTTTAGGGTGATTGTCATATTGCAAGGTCCACTTTCGTTTGTGCTTCAATCTTCTGACAGATGGTTTCACGTTATCCTCAAGCACCTTCCAGTACAATGAAGAATTCATAGTGGATTTTATGATGGTGAGCTGCCCTGACGCAGCAAAGCAGACCCAAACCATAACATTTTCACACCATGCTGAACAGTTGGTATCAAGTTCTACTGGTGGAATGCTATCTTTGGTTTACTTCAAACATCTCTTCTGGTACTATGGCCACATAACTGCATCTTTGCCTTGTTTGTCCAGAGCACATTGTTCCAGAAGTCCTGCTCTTTGCCTAGGGGTTCATGAGCAAACTTTAGTCTTGCCCTGATGTTCTTTCTGGACAGCAAAGGTTTCCTTCTGGCACATCTCCCATGTAGAACTAACTGGTGCAGCTTCTTTCTAATGGTAGACTCATGCACTTTGACATCAGTAGTGGTGAGAGTTACCTGTAGGTCACATGATAAAATTCTGGGGTTCTTAGAGTCTTGTTTCAGCATCTTGCATTCTGCTCTTGGGCTGAACTTACTGAGATGATCTGACCTGGGCAAGTTGGCAGTTGTTTGAAATCTTCTCATTTGTAGATGATCTTCTGGACAGTGGAATGCTTAATGTCCAAGTGTTTGATGATCTTTTTAAATTCTGTCCCAGACTCATAGGCATCTTTAACCTTCTTTCTGAAGACCTCAGAGTGCTCTTTCGATCTAGGCGTGGTGATACCACACACTTCAGCAACAAAGAGCAAATCAAACTAAATGTCAGAGGTTTAAATAAGACAGATTCCTCCCAGATCCTCTCTAACAATGTTCTATTCATTTGTACCTGATCTAATTCATTTGCACTGATTAATTTTAGGTATTTGAGGTTGTGATAAATGCAAGGGGTATACTTACTTTTCCACATGCAAAATTTGCATTTAGGTTTATTTAAATTATGCAATGGACTACAAAATGTAAATGGTGCATGGTATTTGTTATATTATGTCCCCTTTATCTATTAATATTGTTGAAATGAAAATCAAATATCTATATGTTGAACTATGTTGAAAAAGTCAAAAAATTCAATGAGGTATCCTTATTTTTTTGCATGATTGTATATAAGGTATATTAGTTTAGTACTGCTGATACTTACTTGATCCATATTTTGAATTGTTTGGCATTTCTGCCATATACTGTATATATTTTTTTTTTATTGTTGTTGTTCAGTCGTTAAATCATGTCCGACTCTTCGTGACCCCATGAACCATATTGCGCCAGGCCTTCCTGTC